TTTTTAGGAAAAACAGGTAATATACATGTTCCAAGGCAGGGTTATGTCATATGCTCCAAACCTAAAAATAAAAGTCCTTTATTTAAAAAGCTCGATCCTCTGTTTCCTATAAATATGTATATGCTGATAGCCATTTATGGACACACTTAAATGAAATGTTTTTCCTAGGGCGGTAACCCTTCTTTTGGGAGGCTTTAATATGTTTTCCTTAGAAAAATGTTAATAGGCTTTGGTACTCTGGTTCCAGTATTATGGCCATAACTAAAATTAAATCTGTACCCCTGATTGTTTAGACAAAAGAAATTGCACAATAGATAGATTATATCATTAAAGTTATAATATGAAAGCTTCTTAGCAACCACTTTGTTAATGCAGCTGTTGCCTCACTGGGCAAGCTGAACCATGTATTGGTTTCTGAAATCTGTGCTTCCGAGTGGGACCTTTGGAATCAGCAGATACATCTTTAATATCTTGGATATATTTCAAAGTGACGTTTAAAACAAATCTTTAAACTGCTAGTATATGTTATTCTGCATTTTCTATAGGACTTGGATGACTTAATATTTTAAAATAGGACCCATGAACATGGCCTGCTATTTATGAAGGTATATTGAAGCCACTCTCTTCTGCAACGTTGACTTCACATAATGCTGGACTTGGCAGGACTAGGGTAGAGGAGTGGAGGAGGGGGGCATTCTGTGCTATTCTCTTGACCAAACCTTTCATCTGTCTCTATTACATTTTTGTTTAGATCAGAGTTTCTCAGTCTTGGCACTATTGAAATTTTGGACTGGTTGATTGTTTTTTTTGTAGGGGACCATTTTGTGTGTTGTAGGATCTTTAACAGTATCCTTGGCCTCTACCCACTAGATGCCAGCAGTAGCCCCCCCTGCCCATTGTGACAACCAAAATTATCTCCATATGTTGCCAAACGTCCCCTGGGGGTGAATAAATTACTTCTCACCCACCTCCTATTCCCCCACCCCTATTGAGAACCACTGATCTAAATACTCTAAGGAAATGAATCTAAATGTTTTTGGAATAAGAAGATAATTGAGAGAAAATAAAGTATGTCTTTGAAAAGCCACATAGGGGCCTAATTTAATACCACTTTATTGTTCCTCTAATGTGTACATCTCTTAGAACTATATTCTGATAATATCACAAGATATTTTCAGCAAATGTGCTTAATGAGGTAATTAGATTATATTGTGCAATCTGTGATATAGCAGGGCCAGATCACATCCAGAAAATGTG